GACAAAAAAGAGCAGAATTAGGTTTCATGTACTGTCTATATTCCTTATTAATGAAAATAATCTTGAATTCTCAAAATGTATAAAACCATGTATAGAACAAGGCAATAAAATTGTCGTAACCGAATTATATTTGGAGCAAGCGTTATTATCGACGTTGGCGTCGCGACGCCAAACTACGAAGACGATGGACAGAGATCTTTCTTACCATCTGGTTCTTTACCGAGTAAAACTTTACCGAGTAATTTCTGCTCTTGAGTTAACGACAACCGAGTTACATCTAATAATCAAAATTATTTTATTAGTACAGGGCTACTTTAATAGGGACGATTAGTGACTCACCTCAAAGTACTCTCGTACCGCGTCGTTCATCTGAAGGAACTCCTGGGCCGCTGGCTCGTCCCTACAGTAGGCCACATGTTTGTCGAAGTCCCTTTCCTGAAACCACGAGATTGAGAATATGAAAGAATTCGAGGGGAATTCGAATAGGATTGAAATTAATATCTCGAGACTTGTTAGGACTCACCAATCGTAGGAAAGTTTTCCCCAGCATACGTGGTTGATCCGCATAGTACTTAACACCCTCGATCAACACCCTGCCGAACGATCTAAGTAAGATACTGATTATTTCTCATGCTGAAAACACACCATGCCTACGTGCTGAAGGCTGTATCCTTCTTGACTTCTTTTTTTCAGTGCGACATATAGGTTTCAGTGCAACGATGATATTAAGTTACGATGATATAATATGCCAATTTCTTCTACGCTGATTAATCCACGAAGAATTACGTCCAGTGGAAGGTCGTGAAATTATGATTAATTAATATTGGGACGGGGCATATTTGATTTTCTAACTGGGCTGATAGGGATAAAAATCAAATATTTTTTAACAAGAAACGCTGTGATTAAAGACAGCCGTCCAGTGAAATCATTCTTCCTTACATAGTCTGATCATGTACAGAGTATTCTACTGAGAAGTTGGTTCAAGCAGAATACTGCACATTTTTACAATAACACATTTCTATGATAAAATATACGTTTAGAAGAATGAATTTACCTTCGGCAGAGTCAATCGAAGCGTGCTTAGAAAACAACGACATGGAAGGCGCACAAAACTTTTGAAAAAGCAATACCAGTTAAATACCACGAAACACACGATCACACAGTCGTTATCAGACTTACGTTGCTCACGCGTTTTACTAAAGAGAAAGTAATGTGCTCGATGTGAAATTTAATAGTGACCATGTATGGCGTGCATGTTTTTCTTTTCGCTTTGATTCTAATAAAGAATAGTCGTGATTTGTTGCTGTTGTTTGTGAATGGTTTGCTCGAATAACACGTGTCATCTACTTGGACAACAACAAATTAACAAATTGATACACTGTGGAAGTTTTTCGTGGGAAAAAAATCATGTTCCGTGTGGAGTCTTCCAATGTCCAATGGATTGTGTCGCAGTGAATTTCTCTTCTTGGTCTCATCCAATATACGTACGTGTTGTGGAAGTCGGCAATCTGTTTCAGGTTCGTGAAGATGATGTCTTTGTTGTCACGTACGATCCGTGGAACATCTGGATTGTCGAGGGGTTTCAAGTAACGTTCAACGACCTGTTGAAGGTCTCTGCCAAATTCTTCCTCGGTTTCCACTAGTTCTTTCACTACAGCTCTAGAGAAATCAGTCAGGGTCAGTATAGAGGGAAAGACTTAAAGAGGAGAAGTTGAGGTACTCACTCTCGTCGGTATTGAGAGTCTTCCGGCCGATGACCAAGTGCCGAGTCCTCGCTGAGGGCCGTTTGCATCAAAATGGACATGGGCAGCCATCCTTCTCTTGAATCAGCTGTACGAACATACACTCTGCAGAAATGAATTTTTCATTTAAAATATAATCCTGTAGGCTCTCTTAATGTATTAAAATAAATTATTCCCAATACACGACGACGATAATAACAAACAATGCCTTCATAATGTATAGTTTGTTCTATCAATGTAACATATTTTTTTATCAACTGGCTATTTTAATTATTTCTAACAAGGTAGTCGCATTTGACTAATTGGATTATCAAGAAAATTTCGAAATTTTCGGCATAAATTTAGTTCAAACATATTTTCATCGCTGGTAGTATAATTGGTCTACTTTAAATGGTACTGGTAAATTCAAGGTTTAATTGGCCGGACAAATCGCCAACAGATTTTGCGTTTTGTTGAATGAACGACGAATACGCATACAAAGAGGCTCGCCGCGTCGCCTTAGTCACTAAACTTAAATATAACTTTCCAACACCCACACATCATCTATATGTTTATTCTTTATAACATAACCAAGTATATTCCATGTGTACAAAATATCTTCTAATTAATCATCCTTTCGTCTATTTCCATCGCAGAAATAAGAAACATCTCCAAATTTCTATACTGAATGTTTTTAACCCACATCTTTTTTATTCTTTATCGTTCACATTTGAGGAATCTTGAGAAGATCTTAAATTATTTGAGAATAAAATACGTAATTTTTCAGTAAGCTTCGAGTCGATCCGATTTCCTCGGAAACGCACTTTACTTATTTATTTAAGTGTTAAAAAATTCACGAAAACGATACGATCGAAAAACAGTTCACGTGGATGGTCGGTTGAATGTATTAAATAGTAAATAATTTACAATCCATTAAACGAAATCGCTGCCAAAGTGGCAAATCAAAATTTCAGATTGAACCTCACCTTCACGCGGGTTTATTTTTAGAACTGGCTGGTGTTTCACCTTCCTTAGAATCGAACGTTTCTGGCAATCTAAAAGAAGCCAGGCGTTTACCATTGCATTATGCAATTGGAATTTATTTAGACGTGATATTTAATATCAAGCCGATGGCATATTTCATTAAATCTGACAGATATTGCAAACGTGACAAGCGAAAGCTTATGCTCCCCTTTAAAATTAGTCTAACGATATAACGTTACAATTTTTCACACTGATCGCAATTCCCATTGAACTACTTTGAACCTATTCTGGACAACAGCCAACCACCAGCATTCTTCTGACATCTTTGCTTCTCACGACATTTATAAATGCTCTATCTTTGTTAAAAGTCGTCGTAAATTATAACAATTTGTAGGTTGTAGCAAAATAAAATACAGATGGAAATTCAAATTTAAAAGAAAGCACACCACAGGGAAAAGTAATTTTGATAATTCATGTCCCATTGGTGAAATGCTGAGATCCCAAGATCCCAAGGATTTCCAAGTGAAAACGGTTTTATCGCTTGTGCGATGAACAGCACGTTTCCGCATCAATAAAATCAAATACTTCATACTCGATAATGTCGCGGCCACTCAACTGAGTTCAGTATAATCTCGGTGGATGAAATACGAGTTCATTGGCTTCGCCGGTAACGTAATGTTTGGAGTCTAATGTTTGACCGGAGCACCTGTCGTTGCTATATTTCGCGCACGCATTTAGTTGTCTACGCAACTGATCCTTTGCTTTGGACATATCTCGTTCAATAGAAAATTTCCGTTTTCTATGTGTTTCATTTGCCTCGTTACCTTCGCCGTTCGCAGTTTCATCTTGAAATTGACGCTGCTGTTCTAAATCAATGCTCCTAAGCAATCGGACTACATTATACGAAGAAAAGAAATTTATTGAACGCGGACTGCAGCTGAGTTCTTTCGAGTTGTAAAATGTAGACTGTAGAATTTATAATGAATCAAGAGTTGACGATTTTTATGAGACATCTCCGTAGATTTCTTTTCTTTATTTTTTGACTGAGGATTTTACTGAGTCCTTCTCCTTCGTTATTCGTCGACGACACTTTCTAAATTGTTCATTCATCTGAATTCCTCGTTTCACGACGCTTGTCAAAGGATTCGTACTTTACCTCTGGAAGCTGCTGTCCGAGGAGGACCTCGGGATGCTTCTAGCACGGGGATCTGCGTATTTTCGACGCGGTCGAACCGACAGTTTGTGCCAGGCAGCAGAATTGTCCAACGTTTCGCCAATCTCACCGCCGATATCCAAATCAGGATCCAGCTTGATCTTTCTACAACACGTTTAACCGCGTATACAACACAAAGAAACACACTCTCATCGATCCTTGCTCTCTTTTCCATTTCACTTGGAGCTTCATGCAGACTAAACACCATTCTCCGTTAATCGAAGCGAGTTAGCGTATTCGTTAAATGGAAAGCGAGGTCTCGTTCCAAGCAGTTCACAGCCCTCTTCACACCGTCGGAGATTTGCAGTTTCTTTGTTACTTGGTTTGCTCAGCGTATTTATAGTGTGTACAAGCGAAGACAATTCAAGATCAGCGTTTCCACCATTGCGATTCGATCGTCAATAGTGTCTCGATTATTTCTGGTTGAAGGAAAGCTGCGTCACGATCGGCTGTTTCTTTTTTTTTTTTTTGTTTGTTTTCTTTCTTAAAGAACAATTTATTTTTACCTCGAATTTTATATCTCCGAGAGAGGGAAAACCAAATGCAATTCAATAGCTTTATCGTTTCCAATGACACAACGCGAGAAAGATCCTTCGCATAAAGCTGCTGAATCGCGACGATGCATCATTCGTCTGCATGGAGCATTATTCTCGTACTATGACCCGTCGAAAGGCGAAACTTTCCATTTGTTTCGCGTTCAAGGCACTCGGGAGTTCCGTCGACGTATTTTATAAACGTGGCCCCGAGGGAAAAGCACCGACGAAAACGTGATCCTCGTAAAAATATCATCGCGAAAATAAACAAAGGGTGGACGTCCACGGTGCGATCTTTCACGTTTGACACGTAAATTGAACGTGTCTTTAATTTCGCCGCTCGGATACATTTCTGTTAATACATAGAGTCAACGTTTGATCGTGCATTCTGCGGGGAGGATCCTACAACAAACATTCCTAGTTTACGATTAGAACACAATATTAAATTTCATTTCGTTCTTTACGAGAAGGCCTGTTTATTCTGTCAGCTATTTTCGTCGATCAATATTAATTCGCTCTGTGAGAATCGCGGGAGAAGAATTGTAGCAGCTCTTAGTCAGTTTCAAAGCGATGCGATGACATGCTCTTGCACGTGAGCTTCGACGTGTTTAGGAGTTTGCATCAGTCACATTAAAGAAACTAGAGAATATATTCTAACTTCTAACAATAAGAAAGGTAGTATAATATTGAACGCGAGAACTTAGCAAGCGTAACAACTTACAAAGCTTTAAAGCAGTTAATTGCAGTCGCTTTCTATCGCAACACGCCACTATATCGTTCGTCATTAATTGGTACTACGTTTGATAAGAGTGACAGATTGTACATTGTATCGGCATCGTTTGAACGTGTTAGACTATATAGGACCCGCGGCGATGATTATTTTCAGCCCAGGCACACGTTGCGCACACGGAAATAGATTTTAAACGCGAACGAACGGTCGGACTTCGCACGAAGTCAACGTTCCGCCATCGTGAAACGATCGCGCGCAAAATTTGTTTGCCCGACGGCTTTACGGAGCCTGAAAGTTTCTCTTACTTGGCTGGATCGGCGTATTCGAGCGCCTCGACGATGTCGCCAACGTTCACGGAGAATCCATCGGTCTCGTTTTTATAATCCTTCACCACGATGTAGTTGTCCAATGATTTCTACAACAATGCAGAGTAACAACGAATTTATTGAACGATCACAGCGTGTTTTCCGCAGTTCGATCGTGGTATTTTGATGTACGAGATGCCTGGAAGTTTTGGGAGGGATATGTGCTTTCAAAGAAAGTAAACTTTTGCAGGGTGGAAATTTTCAAACGATCGCGTTTTGCGTGTTGGCGATTCAACGATTCGAAATAGAATATATTTGCCTTATCATTCTCTGTTTGATGGTCGCTACATTACCCGTTCGAAGTAATTATCTTGAAAGTTGCTCAATCTCCTCAAACTCGGCGTGTTCTCCCTGCTGCCGGACTGTCCAAACGACTTATCAGACTTCGACAACACAATACCATTACATTCTTGTCTCTGATAAGTCCCAGTACCAGATCCGTCAAGGCTACTAGCCATCGAGGTGGTTCCCGTGAACGTGGACATTTCAACGTCCACGTCTTCTTCCTTCGCAACGGGGCAACAGTACATAGAAAATCGATGGGTGGTTGGACGAGCGAGTTGAAGCGCGGAGAAAACGTGGAGTGGTTCAAAATGATGGATTCCATCCTCGTCAAGAACTGTGTAGGCCACTTCTCCGGTTAGAACAGACCTAGAAGCTTCTCTGGGCACCACGGCTTGCATACCTTGCTTCAGAATCATAAAAATCGTGGATGGCCTGTGGTTTCTTCTCAAAAGGAATTCTTCCATGGCTAAACTATTGTCAGACTGAAGCAGAATCGACGGTACGTCAGTTGACGATTGGAGAGGACCTTCTTCGGGTACAATCATTAGAGCTGCGCTTTCTCTAACGAGAGTCCTCAATCGTGGATCAGTCCGCGCCAATTCTGGATCGCTGCATAACTGCGTTAAAGCGTTCATGAACGGTGGCCGTTCTTCGGCTAATTTTCTCATCACTGTCAGTCGTTTCAATACGTCTAACGTTACCCTATCACCGGCTAGGACTTGTGTTGATTTTTCATCGCTGATCACTGTCAGTAGAGTGCTGGCAATGTTAGACATACCTAAAGCTCTGGCTAATCCTACAGCTTGCAGAAGCATCTCTCGAACGTTGCCCCCCTCGTCGTTTAACAATTCTTGCACGTGAATTTCGCTCGATTCTCTAACTGCCTGGATGATGGCCTTGTGAACGGTCTCGGCTGCTTCTTTTTCGGTAACGATAGTGGAAACTTCTTCGGATACCTTTTGGAGAACTCGAGAGACCAGTTCTGGATCGTTTTTCGAGACTGTCCTGAAAGCTGAACCGATTAAATCCGTACCGTGTTCTTCCTCGAGGACCATGGATAATCTGTCGAGGACTACGTCTTCCTTCAGAGACTGACTGCCTACGGTGGATTTTAAAATGTTCACTTTATTATTTTTACTCTCTAGTAAATCTAACAGAGCAGACTGACACAAGTTACTTCGATTCTGGGGGACTAGAAGTATCTGCAGGATTTCTTCCACAGATTGCTCGACACTGCTACTTCTTTGACGTAAAAGGACATTGAATGCTTCGCTAATGGATGAATAAATGAAATCTTGCTTAGAGTCGTTACCATTTTCCATAGAGTGACTCATAATTGCCAGAACGGCGCTTGTCATTGCTATCTTCACTGCGTCTTTTAACCAATAATCATTCCCATCGTTCTCTTGTCCTTCTTCATTTCTGTTATTATCGTTTATAACAGGAGACTTTGCACCATTCATAAACTTTGTTTCGATATAATTTTCCTCCAGTTGTTGTTCCTGTTGAATCACAATGTTTTTCGCTAGCTGAGCAACAGTTGACACTATTTGCGCCATCTTCACTGCAGTGGTACCATGTAAACCGAGCTTCTCCGCCATTACAAGAGCATGTTCCAAAGCCACCGCCTTTGGATCTATATCCACGTCCACAGCTGGTAAATCTGTGGTCACTTTTCTCCCTACAGATAGACCAGCTTCTGATAACTGTCTAAGCATCCTTGCATCTATGCTGGTTTCTCCCTGATGCTGAACGTGAGGATTATAATGTAAATTCTGCGGCCTCAATAATTTTAATTCCTCGGGGGTGACCTCGAATCCTTGAACAGAGAATTCTAATTCTCCTTCAGGCGTGTCAGTTAGATCTGGAGCTACGAAACGCGGTCCTTCTTCGGTCTGAACTATCTGGCCAGGTACAAAGGTCACTCCCAGTTCTCCAGACTCTACGACACGACCTGGTACGAATCTTGGTCCATCAGATGTATCTACCACTTGTCCAGGTACGAATCTAGAATCTTCATCGTCGGTGGAAATTACCTGACCGGGAATAAAAGTGGGACCAGCTTTGGTCTCGACGATTTGACCTGGTACGAAACGTGGTCCATCTGCAGTCTCCACGGTTTGACCAGGAACGAATTTTGTGCCTGTTCTAGTCTCTACCAGTTGGCCAGGAACGAATTTAGGACCAGTACTAGTGTCGATCACTTGACCTGGAACGAACTGTTCACCTTTCTCTGTCATCACTATCTGACCAGGCAGGAAACCATCCTCTGTCATCACACCAGGCACGAATCGAGGCCCATCTTTTCCTCCCCTGACTAATTGGCCTGGAACTATCCTTTTTCCTTCTGGTAATTTTTTCTCACCCTCTGGGAAGAATTCAACTCCTTTCTCAGTTTGTACCATGTGACCGAAGATTTCGCTCTGCTGAATGGAAACGTTGGCAGTCTTTGGGTCAACCGGCATACCGACAGGTCCAGCATCGTAAAACACAACCTCGTCAAACGTACTAGCTGCAGCAAACTCGATTCCCTTATCTGTGATTCTAGTTCTTCCTGGAAGGAATTTCTCACCCATTGGTGTTCTTACTACTTGGCCTTCTACGAACTTTTGCCCTTTCGGAGTATCCAAAGTCATACCAGGAACGAACGTCGAACCATTCTCAGTATCTTTAACTATACCAGGCATAAAGTAATTCTCTCCAGAATTCGAAACCACGTACTGTCCCGGTACAAATTGTAATCCCTGACAAGTTGGAATCGTCTGACCTGAAACGAACTTCATTTCTCCAGTCAGAGTTTCGATCGACTGTCCAGGAATGAATTCCCAGGTTTCATTCATCCGTACACTCTGTCCTGGGACAAATATCTGTTCTCCATGATTATCAGTGATAGTTTGACCAGGCATAAATCGAGGTCCGTCAGGAGTGAGAATGGTTTGACCAGGAATGAAAGTTCCATCTTTAGTCACTTGACCGGCGACGAATTTTGGACCGTCGTCTGTAAGAACGGTTTGACCTTGAACAAATCTGGCTCCATCGTCAGTGTGGAAAGTTTGACCCTGAAGGAATCGATGACCCTGTTCCGTGGCCAACGTTTGTCCAGCTATAAATACAGGTGTTTCTCTGTTATCTTGCTCGTTCAAGTTGAATATCTGTCCAGCAACGAGGAGAGGACCGTCAGGAGTGTTCACGGTTAAGCCAGGAACGAACGCAGGACCCTGAGGTGTTTGCAGCGTCTGGCCAGGTACAAAAATAGGTCCGTTCGGCGTCTGCACTGTCTGGCCGGTGATAAATCTCTGCGCGGACTTTATGTCTAATTTCAGACCTTTAACGTTGTGTTGAGTTGTCACCTTACCCTTGCTCAGTTTCTGCACCAACTCTGGAATCTCTTCCACTCTTGGCAGCTGCTCTATTGCCTCCTCACCTGCTTGCAGGAGCTTCATGTTTACATTGGACACCTCTTTCAAGCCGCTCGCTGGAATATCTCGTATGGCAGACTGTAGAGCAGCGTCGGATTCTATTTTCAGCGGCGTCAATGGCTTCACGATTGATATCGCCTCGAATCCTCCCGTGCTCTCCGAGATAGGGCTGGTGCACGACGTAGTAGCACTTTGTTCGACAATCTGAGGCTCCACTTTGATAGGAGTGGGTAATTTGTCGACGATTGGTTGCATGGATGGTTCATTAGTATCCTGGAACGAGTTCCAGTCCAAAGTCTCTGGCAGAGACTTCTCCGCACCTTTCAAAGGTTTCGTCACAGAGATGAAGTTACACGCTCTGGTTCTAGCCTGTTTCAAATTCACATTCTTCCATGTTTCTTCTTTCATTTCTTCCTGCGTTTCTTCCTTGACGCTTCGAAGCTTTAACTGCTTCGTCTGTCTTAGCTCCTCTTCCTCGGCGGCCCTCTCTTTCTCCTCGAAAATCCTCTTGGCATAACTTAAACCAGCCTGTCGTTTTCTCTTGCGTCGCTTAGCCTCAGCTTCCAGTCTCTCCCTTTCCTTCACCACCTCCTGACTCGGTCCAAGCCCATCGTAAAGATTCTCAAAGTCTTCTAGATTCTTGAAATCAATCGAAACGTTTTTCCCTTGTTTCAGCCTGAACAAAACTGTGTCGCAGTCCCTGGACAACATCACGTCCTTCACGTCCCCGTCTCTGACCGCAGCCTCCAATCTGGATGGAAATACCAGGCTGCATCTTCTTTCTTCTACCGTGTACACGAATTTTGTCTGTTCCTCCTCGACGAGAGGTTGTTTCTTGCTTAATAAATCTCTCAGAGCTTTTTGCTGTTCCCCTTCTCCTTCCAGGACTGGGAACACGTAACGGTAGTCCTTGAGGATCACGTGTTTCTTCTTCTCGCCCAGGACGAAGCCAGCTGTATAATGATGCGGTCCTAGACCGGAAGCATTCGTTATCTTGCATTTCGATTTGTCGTGGCTGTGAATACCCAATAAGACTGGAATGTAATGATGAGTAGGCAGACCGTACGATTTCCCGGTGATCCGACAGAAACGTCTCGCATCAGCTGGGCTGATCGGCGGTAAAAGAGGGAAGTAATTTGGCTTAGGGAGGCCCCTGCTTCTTCCTGTTATCCTGCAAAAGGACATTGTTCGTCTCCAGCCGCGGAGTTTCTTAAAAATTCATTCACTCTATTCCCCTTTATTACCTCTCGTTGGGTAACCACAATTTTGTTCAAAATTCGCAGTCAGATGTTGTTGATTGTGAATAGAACGGCACACAAAGATCTCTTTTCTATATGAAAATGTTGTAGGAAGTCTCTGTCATCGACGATTGCTAAAAGCTTGGCATCTCACCCACGAAGAGAACCACGAATTCTTGTGCGTGACCATTCAATCGCGACTTCCCCCTAGCGTTCACCTTGCTCACGTCAGTTAACAAGTCCAATGTCGACGCATGAATCAACGATTCATATTGTTCCCTGCTCGCCATAATTTGTTCACGTGTGGATAGACGAAGCCTCCTGCAAGTCTGGCCGCGTAACACGTGACTGGCAAACTTCATGAATGACTGTCCAATTTCGCTCGAATTATCCTTCAGCCTTCGCGAGCCTCGAATGACTAGATCTAAAATTTCCACGGTGTCGAGATGTCGTTGAAAATGTCGCAGTCTCCTTGCCAATGAACTATGACGGAAATGTACTATTTTTCTCCGACTCCAATTACGGTGATTCACTAGAAGATTTCTTAAAATAAAGTCTCTGCTTACTTGCAAATGTCATTTACGCGAATTCTGCGTTCAATTTCCTCTCGAGGACGAGCCATTCGATTCATCTAGTAAATAGATCGATATTTGTCGGGAGACTCGAATAAAGATTAGTCCTTGAGATTAGTGAAATAATCTTCTGTAATTACCTTGAGGCGGCACCGACACAATCAGTGTCGATTGGCATATTTTTACCGTAATTTTTCTTTTTTCTCGTCTCGATGTTTCCACATTGTTTTCATCGCGTGCTCGTTAAAAAAGCTCGTTTCGTCGAACCCGAAGTCGGTAGCTCGTGCCTCGTCGACGAGGCACAGTTTATTTTTACGTACAGGATGCCTACGAGGATTCCGTGGGAGCTGTTCGTTCGTTCGTTTCGTCCCTGGTAACTGGCCAATTTGATGATTTCCTCGTCGTAGAAAAGAGTCTCTCTTCT